CTTTTCAGGTCTACGACGCCGGCAGCGCGCGGATCGTCTCCGACAGCCTCACGAGCGAGGCCGGCCGGGCCCTGCGGCCAAACGCCCCGGTCGCCGCCGCGCGCTTTTCCGCCCGCGGGCGCTATTACTTCATCGCCTCCGAGGACCTCACCGTCGCCGTCTACGCGTCGGAGAGCTCCGCGCTGCTGGCGGTGCTCTCCTGGCGGAATCTCCTGACCTCCCCGACCACCCCCGGCGAGGCCTCCGTCCACGCGCGGCGGTGTTATCTGCACATTTTGCCCCACCCATCCATCGACGAGATCTTTGCCTGCATCGTGAACGACCGGATGATTTTATGGCGGGTCGCGGACACCAAAGACGCGTGCCTGCCGTTATCCAAAAAGTCCCTCCTGCTCTCCGGGCAGGTCCGCGAGGCCGCCTGGTTGGCGATTCCGTCCTCGCGGCCGGTCGACGTCTTTTCCTTCGCCGCTCCGACGACGGACGACGCGTCCTATCCCTTTCTCCTCTTAACCTACGTCGCCCCTGGGCGTGGGGCGGAGTTGTTCGATTTCTCCCGCCCGCAAGTCCTCCGGCGCTTCGACCTGGCGTCTGCGGCGGCGTTGGTGCGGTCCTTCACCTGCTCCGACGATCACACGCGCGTGGCCCTCGCGACCTCCGACGGGGCGGTCTTGATTTATCCCTTGCAGGGAGAAGGGATGGGTTCCTTGGGCGATCCGGAGGCTTCGGAGCCGACGGCGGGCTCGCATGACGAGCCCGCCCAACGGGAAACCCTGCCAGTGGAGACGGTATCGCCTGTTTTTAGTATTAAGGTCTTTGATTGCCCTCCACCTAGCTCGCTGCAAGCGTTTTGGGGGATCGCTTTCTACGAGGGAAGCTCCGCGCTACTAACGCTGGGAAATGGGGTGGAGCTCAAGTACTGGGAACTTCCCGATCTGGATAGTTATGCAAAGACCGATTTGACAGGTTCCATAAATAGCAATCAGGACAACGACAATACCGAACAGAGCTGTCAAATCATTTCCAAACCACACGGACAAATTCTTCTTCCTCGCCCCGCGAGGTGTTGGTCTACGACATCAATAAGAGGTATCGAAAAGGGCATGGATACGTCGAATACTACCCCATCAGAGGAGGACATCAAAGGTAGTATTGCCATTGGCGATGAAAAAGGCCACGTAATGGTTTTGAGCATCTGGAAGCCGTAGATCAGACGCAACATAAATATATAGAGAATGAGTGAGTGAGTGAAAGAGAGAGAGAGAGCGCTGTATCTAATTTTAAGACGCATAATGCGTCTGATTCAACCAAATCAATCACTACAGATTTGTTTAGGTGGATAAATTGCTTATAGCGTACCGCGAATACGTTTATTCTTTAAAATCTAAGTTTAGAAAATGATGTAATATAGCGACTTCTTGTTTTGTTTTGCACCAATGTATTATTTATTTTCGCCTTTATTGTGAATTCGGTGATTTTTTTTTGCCGATTAGAAGGTTCATTGGGGATCAGGATATCCCAAAAAGAGGACGAAAAAAATGATCTCTTTTCTACTCCCCTCAACAAATAGTACTGTAATTATCTACTTTATTTTTTCACACCTTATCTTTGATGGTTGGAACAATCTCACTTATTTTACCACCTTTATCTTTGTAATTCGTTTTTTCTTTCAAGAAATATATAAAAAGGTAATTTTACTTCTAATTTATTATTGAACTTTAGTTCTGCTTTATTCACTTACGTTTTTTTATTTTCGTACTATCCGTCGCTAACTCTATAATCGAGCTATCGATCGACCCAATAGTACATTGAACTCAAGTAAATTCATCCTTCATAGCATTAAATTAATTACATTCTATCCCTTTGGAATTTTTTTGCCATCGCTAAATTTTGCTTATTATTTTTCAAATTCAGGAATTTCTCGAACGTGACCGACATAAAGTACTTTCTTTGGCAGTCGTAATTCTATTATATTAGACTGCAGAGCAAGCTAAACATTTTCTTCACTTATCAATAGTAAACTCTTTGATGGAAAATAGGTGAACAAAAAACATCAATCAGGTCGGTAAGCATCCACATTGGCATTCTTTTTTTTTGTTTCTTTCCTAGCACGTATGGTTAATATCTTAGTTTAAAGAATAGCAAACACACATCGACACGATTGCTATTTTTATGATGATGGAAAATTCTCACAAGACTAAACCCAGGTTACTTTCTAGCCCATCCAAAGTTAATAGAGAGATAAAAAGCACACATGATTTTTCACCTAACAATAATTCTTCCCTCTTTATAGAGTCGAAGCCTTTTGTAGATCCGAATGGGGTTAATACACTTAAACCCTTCGCTTCGATGAAAAAAGCACCCCTTTCGGCCTCTGATTTATTCCTTCCCTCGCCCTCCCCCCTGCCAAAGTCGATGTCGAATGACCCTATGAAGTCCTCTTATCCAAGCACAATATCCTCCCCGGTGGTGAAAAGAGGGATCAACAAAAGTGAGAGTATTGTCATTCTTCAGCCCTTTGACAAACAAGGGGAGTACTCCGCGTATAATGCTCCAGTGGAGTCCTTCCACGCGAGCTCTTGGTCGTCCGAAAGCGGACTACAAAAAGGGAACTTGGGGGATTCCCCAGGCGCGAGGGTGGGGAAAAAAGATCCATTCTCGCCGATAAAGCCTATCGGTAATTTTAACTCCACCTGGATTAGCTGTAATTCGACCTCATCGAGTTCGTGGAGCTACTCACAGGAAAGAAAACGAGAAGCGGTGAAAGGGGAACCTTACAAAGATCTGTCCATAAACCTTCACTCGCCCAAATATAGCTTCGATGAAAGGCTGCTAAAAGGGCAGTCCAAGCCCACAGAAAGGCCGACCTCCCCCAATGAGCGAAAACCCATAAAAGGTGGCAAAGTCACCGTCATGACGAATCTGATCTCCAGCCCGACGTTGGTGGAGGCGAAGAAGCGGCGTCGGGGGCTCCATGCCAAGGGGCGATCCTCCGGCTCGGACTCCCAAACCGCCTCCACGAGCGCCTTCTCCAACCTCGCGCTGTTCAGCGAGGAGAACTCGCCCTTGGTAGAGACCGCGAAGCCGCCGGCGGAGCTTTCCCTCCTGGGCTT